GAAATGCTATGATGCTTCTTAACTTAATTGATCTCTCATAATCTTTATCCTATATTAGATATATGTAATATAATTTTCCGCCTCATTTAGTACAATTCTTGAATGCTTAATTCTAAAGTATCATCAAAAACCAATTATGGATTATCTGAGGATCGATGAATCATTTAGTCATTTAAATGGAGGTACTCTACCTTACCAATATTCACAAAACTCAAATTAGACCTAATCAAATCCATTAAATTAGTTTTACCTGTTGAATGCCAAATCTTGTTATATATCCCTTTTTGTTTCTTTACTAACATATTTCATTTGTAAACTATTAACATCTTAAAAAGCGTTATAAATTCAAATCATTTTATATTAAAAAATATGAATAAAATATAAGATACCTTCGATTTGCACTATTTTTTCAGGAGAAAATTCAGAACTTTTGTGTTAAATTTAAAAATGACTATACCTCTTATGGATTGCCTAAAGTCTACTTCGCTATATTACATCAATTCTTATTTAGTGCTTTGCTCCAATTTCCAAATTATAACTTTAATTCTCCATTTATGGCTTTTAATAGCTTAAATGCAATTTTTTGGGCTAGCCTTCATTTTATTTGTCAGTTTATAATTGCAATCAATTACATAAATTAAGATAAAAGATAGGCAAAAATGGAAATATTTTTATCAAGATTCCAAATCTTAATTTTGGGCATTCAGTTAAAAATCATTCTAAATTTACCGAATAACGTTTTACATATTTATAATCGTTGAAGCAATAAATTATCCAGAGATTTAATCAATTGTTCTCTCTATGTCCTCGTTTATCTATCTTTTATACTTAGTTAAATTTAGACCATTAAAATCTAAATATGATGAGGCTAAATTGTTATGTAGAGAGTTTTTATTTATTTTAATTTCAGGGTCCTTTTTAATTTATAGTTTTCAACTCAATTATGACTAGCACTTATTATATGGATGGATTCATATTGCTCTTTTTACGTTAATCCTTATCTCAAATTTAATCATAGATTTAATAGAATGTATAAATAAAGTAATACAAAAACATAAAAGAAAGTAAGTAAAATTGAAAAAAAAGATAAATAATGAAATCAATGATCTTTCATAATTTATGATAATAACGACGAATGTAAAACGCAACAGTTTCATAGGTAAACCAAAAAATTAAATAACTTTGTGATGACAATTTAATTTATATCAAATATTTTCCAAATATTTTTTAAAGAGTGATTTAATTCAAATTCAAACTCAATTATTATTGATGTTTATGTTAGTTTATTCTCAATAAGTAAGCAAAATTTTAAAATATCAACAAGATAAATAATAAAATTATTCAAGATATTTTGTGTTTCAAGAATTCCCATTGATTATGTTATCTATAAATGTCTTATCTTTTATAAACATAAAGAAAAAGTTTGTAAAATTCATTTTTAAGAAAAATTACAAATAGAGATTTTATTAATTTTAATGTGTTGCTATAATCCTATACTTCCTTATCATCAATTTCAATGCAGAAATGTTTAGAAGATAATAAATTATTTATTGGCAAACTCATTCAAAGTAGAATACTATTTTTCATCTGATTTATAATATTTTTTAAATTATTGAAATAAATTATAAGATTTGAGTGATCTATAAATATAATTTTTTGTATAAATAATGCACCCTCAACATCTTAATAGTTGATATCTCTAATAAAGACATGAATTTTCAAAATATTACTTAAAAAATTATGTAAATTAGTAAATCTTACCAATGTATAGATATAAAAATGTTGTATTGATTCATTTAGGAATTATGGTAAAATTTTGATTTTAATTTAAAAGTTCGATTTAATTTTTGCTAGAACATTCTGTTTATCTCATTAAAAATTGTATTAAATATGAGAAATTTCATAAAGAAAAGTAACATAGATGAGGATCTAATTCAATTTAATGTATTCAAACACCAAATTATATCTACTCAGTACAAATTAGCAAAGGAATTTTCAGTTTCAATAGAACTTTTGATTTTCTATCAGAGACTTAAAAATTGAATATATTAGTTATTTGGAGGATTACAATTAATTTAGCAAATTCAAAATCAAAGAAAATTCAAGAAATCTACTCAAGTAACCTATATTTTGCTAATTGGTAAAATTATTCTTAGAATGATAAAATAGTAGCATAAAATAAAGATTAAAGGAATTTTATGATTTAAACTTTAAAAATGGATAACAATCAAGATTCAATTTCAATTTTCAAAATCAAAATTTCCTTTTTGAATTTATTATTTGATGATACTTATATAATTTCTAATTTGGATTCAGTAATATTTATTATTAATTCTTTCTGATATTCAATGATCTAAACAAATTTTGCTTTATAATTCAAAATATTGTTTTGATTGGAACATTAATTTAAAAATTTTTATTATTCCACAACGCACTATTCGCAACTTCTGAAAAAGCTTTCAACTATCTTATATTCTTAGCATCTAACCTAAGTTTAAAAAGAAATAGAAGAAACATTTTTACTAATATTTAAATTTTTTTAACCAATCTCTCCAATATTTAGATCTAATACATCAATGTATATTTTAAACGAGTTCAAGAAATCTAATTATATATTGTAAATATCAAAAATTTCAAGATAAGCACATTCTAAAGGAGGGGCTTATTTAATAGATTAAATCTATACCAATACATCCAATATCTACGTTTATCCATTTATTTAGGCAAATTACACATTCTGAGTCTAATTCTCCAGTGCACTCTTAACATCCAATTGAACATATTCCTACAAAAACATCAATAGATTCAAATCCCCAATATGCAAGATCATGCCTGTTATTCTCTGTTATCATTGATAATTTAATTTTGGGGGATGAATGAAATTGATCTACATCAACATTAGTGATTTTTGTTTCTAGGAGATAATATGGTTTTAAAACAAATTTGTCAGATTACATTTTTTTAATATACCTAAGTTTATCATCTATCAACAAACTAAATGATTCATTATCCCAAACACCAAATGTCCACAATTTGATTAAGATTTGAACCTTAAAATGAGGAATTTAAGTTTCTAAAATTTTATCGATTCTTTTTCCTTTTAGCAAATTAGTTCCACCATAAATCTTTATACCTAAACATTCACTTGCCATTATTATTTAATTATCACTCTCCCATCCTTCTTCTGGTTTTAGGTCAGGTAAATATGATTTAACGCTTCTCCAAAAGTAGCAAGATGATGTTAAATCTGTACAGAATATACAATCTTAAGGGCATTCTAAAATTTCAATTATAAAATTTTAAAACCCCCATGATTCCTAATATTAATCACATTTTAATACATCATAAGCCAATTAATTTAAAGTCGAAGTCATTATGACATCTAAATTTAATAAACAGTGTTTTGGAAGAGTAATTATCATGGGAGTATTAAACTCCAAAAATATTTCCCCTTAGTTACCACACATTTACTGACCCTCCCATAAAAAAAATGGCTTTTATTCAGTTTCGCTATCAAGTACTATTTAGAAAGTCTCACCATCCCAACTATCAACTCAAAAAATCAATAAATATAATACTTCCATAAATCTAATGATATTCGTATTGAATAATGAGGAGGAAGTTCAAATTTTGAAGAAATTAATGAGTCCACACCGAAAACACAATATCCTCCAAATAACTTTGTTCCATTACATTGACTGAATGGATAATCATATGGATCATAATTTAAATCTTTATATGGGTTGAAGATGTACCAACCTAATTAAAAATAGTAAATAACCTGATATATCCCAATTTTATCCAGAAAATCCAGTATAAATATTTTTCCCTGATTCTTAAGATTGTGCAATAAAAAATATTAATTGCAGAAGAGAGAGTAGTTGATTCATTATTTTATTAATAGATTAAAATTTTGCAGTTTGAGTAGCTTTCCTACACTAGAAATTTAGTTTGATTAATAATTGTTTCGAAGGTAAAAATCGCATATTCATTTTTATAATAATGAATTGGTTAGTCTGATATGTGCATCAGCATTTATTATAATAAAAAATATTGATTTTACTCTTTTATATGGATAAACTAGGTTTATAATTCAATTAATAATTTTTATTAGTATGAACTCTTAGCTAAGATTGGTAGTTAACGATTATTTTTTTCTTATAGATTTGATGGATGGAGTTTTATTTTTACTAGAAAAATTGAAAATTATAACTAGTTGCTTTTTGATTTATTAAGTCAAATTAACATAGCTATATTTTTCAGTTATAATCTAGGTTAAATGGCTATATTGTATTTAAAATTTAATGAAAGATTTTGTAATAATAGATTGAAATTTGTAATATTTTATAAAATTAGGTTATAATGATGAGAATTTTCTATATTATTCTATTCAATTAAAAATGAAAATTATTTGTATTAATTCTAATGTTTATAATGAAAAAAAATCCTAACCAAATTGTAGAAACTTCAAACACTTTTGATATTCAATCTAATTATAATTCAAACTATAACTAGGTCATAGAATAAATAAATAACTTCATGAAAGAGATTTTAGAATAAAATATTTCAGTTATAACTTAGATAATATTTTCTTATTAACAAAAATCTTTTATAATTAAAAATTAGAGAGCAAACTAATCTCAAACTATTCTCCTGGGGAACCTATAATCTAATCATTTAAATCTAGAATAAAATAAAATCTGAAAAAATGTTCAAAATAAAAAATACATAACCCTTTGATTTTACAAGATTTTTCATTTAATAATTAAAAAATATGTTTATATTTGTATACATTCTTTTCATTAGGGCTTGTCAAGTGATAAATGAGGATTATTATCTCTATCCTACAAAAGAAGAAACATTAGAAATACCTATGCTTAATTTTTTTTAAGGCAATGATTTAATTTATAAATGTTCCAACTGTCCATAAGATGTGAAGATTGTGGGTACTATGAATCATAGAAACAATATTGAAAATAGTAAGTAATTAATATTAATTAGATTACACATTTAAATCTGTCTCACCTTCTACAGATCAAATATTTGCTTTGACTACTGAACCTTCGTTGAATATCTATTTGAAAATAAATGGAAGTCTGATACTATAAAAAGTAATTAACATAAATTCAAACTTATCGTGCTTTAGTGTTACTTACTTAACAGTAAATAATATAATTTTAGATTGTTACTAAAATGAAACACTAATTCTATACAATTTAAAGAACACTACACTCATTTAGATCTACACTTCCAATAGTTCTCTTCCAAATCAAACAAAACTAGGTTCTATTATAAATAACACAACTGTGTACTTTATATATGGGTAGTTTTTCAGCCTGTTAGATTAAAATGAATTGAAATTGACCATCTTATATGAAATTAAAAAAAACACTTTAATATCCACAGATAGTTTAACAATTTTGGCATATAACTTTGTTGTTTCATAAAGGGAGAGTACAAGTTAAACAATATTTATTTAATAATTAAATGAGATTTTAACATATGTGATATCACAATCAGGAACTCTTGTGTAAGGCAACAATATCTTATTATATCAAGATATTTTTTATATGGGTTATTATTATTCCTATGACGAATACTATTAATTTGATCGAATAATGTTAATAGTTTTAGACGATGATTAAGATTATATGTATCTCGTAGATATCTTTTACAGTGTCTCAGGATATGTAAAACTATTAGAGTCTAAATAATTTCTAAAGAAAGTAAGTAGAAATGCCTAAATATTTATGAATTAACAATTCATAGTTCTTCATTATAATAATCATAGAATTAGCATTCTGTAAAATTAAGGATTTAATAAAATTATTATCAGAAACTTTGATTTACACAATAACAATACAGTTGTCTATTTCGAAGGATCCACTTAAGAATTGTTAATTTTTGGAGACCATATTGAAATTTATACCTTATAAATACCTACTTTATATTTTGCATCAAATGAGATGAGTGGTTCATTCTCTATTTAGGCTTTTGAAATAGAAGGTAATTTTTAAATAAGGAAATGCCAAACTGTGATTCATTATCTTTAGGTCTCCAAAATTGATAGCAGTGTTTATTAGATTTTCGTATAACCACAACTATCATTTTTTAATTTATTGCAATTTCCTTTTATATATTGGATCACATTTGTTTCAGGATCACTTCTCAATGTTTCAAATATGGTAAGCAATCCAAGTCTAGGAAGTTTTAGTGATTCTACTTTATAAAAACTCCATCAATCGTTAGATTTGACTTAGAGCTATGAGATGGTTAAAATTTTTTCAGTTAATATATTCCAAGAATGCAACAACAATTAATTTAATTGTTTTTTTCATTGTAGCAATAAACAATCAGACTCTAGATCTATATTAAGAAGGAACAATATTACCAGTCAGTTCAACCGATATTACTAAAAAAAATGGTAGTGTCACTCAAATTGAAATTACTTTCGCTATTCTAAATCAATAATTATACTTCTTAGTTTGCCTAGGTATAGGCTAGAATATGATATAAATTTATGAGTATGATCGACAATTATCATTAGTAAACATTACAACCTTTTAAACATAGTCATTTAAATAATTTTAGTTGCTATCTAATGCATTAGTTTTGTTATTAGATACAAATTAAATAGTTATAACAACATTTGATAATCAATTTTTCATTTTACTTGATTCGAAAATTTTTAATCAGATCGTTGGTTCAAAAATTGACTTTAATCCAATAAGTATATTTATCAACTAACAATACCAATCTAGAATCTTATACATAAACAATTAAAATAGTTTTATTATAGGTTAAATAACAGAGCGATTTAATTTTATGTTAATATCAATCAAAAAAGTGTTTTTCCTAATTTAAAATTTATAGGTTGTAAATAACCAATTAATTTTGTCATATATTCAACAAGATATGTCAGTTGTTTAATTTGAAGTCTGGAATGTCAAAAAATTGAAGGAACCCTACTTTCAAAGAAGTATGAGATCCTTAGTGCTTGAGTTGAATAAAGATTCAATTTTCTTCTACTCTGACAATCAGTTTTTTTATGTATAAATTGGCTTAATCATGCATATATTTAACCCCACCTTATCAGAACATTCAAGTCTCTATTATCGAATATATATTGATGGACTATAATTCGCAAGCACAGCAACGGACAGTATGAGCCTTCTTTATTTTAATTAGAGCTTATTTTTGTTATCACCTATTTTACTTCAGACATTTTATAATTTTAGTATATATTCAGATTTCCTATCTGAATAAATCTTTAATTTCACTATTTCCTCCTAACTTAATTAGCAGAGCAAAATTAATTCTTTAAACAATTCTGTGACCATAATAAATAATTATGAATAAATTTAAATGAACCATACATAAGTCAATGTAAGTCAATCTTAATCCTATATCGAAATATTTAGAAATAATATTTCAGTTGAAGGTTAAATTTTATAATTCAAAATGGTTAACAAAAATAAAAATTAAGATAATTACACATTGACAAACTATATTTAGTATTTCAATTTAACGTATGATTAGGCTAACTACAATTTAATTACTCAATTAGATAATAGCTGGAATATTTAATTTCTGCTGATGAATAATTATAGTATCCTAAATTATACAAATAAAGATAAATATTTCTTTGGTCCCTACAAAAAATGTATTGCCTCAACTGCCTATAAATTTAGTCTTTTTGCTTTATGAAAGGATACTCAATACAATACTTAAATAATTAGTATGAATAAATCAAATGCAGTAAACAACTCAATTTTAGAATCTAAAAT